GTAATACAACATACAATTGTCTTAATGTACTTAGATTAACTGGGGAAGTATGGTTATATCTATTAGTTACATTTTTTTAACCTATTCACCTGTAGTGTCTTGCCTTAAAGGCTTAGTTTACCCAAAAATGAAAATTCTGTCATTAATTACTCACCCGCATGTCATTTCAAACCCAGAAGACCTCCGTTCATCTTCGCAGATATTTTTGATGTGATCAGAGAGCTCTCTGACCCTGCATAGACAGCAACACAACTGCAATGTTCCCAGAATTCCCAGACCTAGAATTTCCCCAGAAGAACGCGCACAAAAAGTATTCTCATAGCTTCGCAAAATTGAATTTGAGCCACTGATGTCGCATGGACTGTTTTACCGATGTCCTTACTACGTTTCTGGACTTGGGAACATTTCAGTTGCATTGCTGTCTATGCAGGGTCAGAGAGCTCTCAGATTTCATCAAAAATATCTTAATTTGTGTTCCGAAGATAAACTAAGGTCTTACAGGTTTGGAGCGACATGAGGGTGAGTAATTAATGACAGAATTTTCCTTTTGGGGGTGAACTATCCCTTTAAATCATAAATTTCTTAATTTTACATTTACAAAAAACAAAAATATCACATTGATTGAAATGATCTAAAAACAAACTTCAAATGGAGTCTGTATGTTTAATTTTATTTGAATTAACTGCAAAAATGTGTGGAGAAGATGTTTGGCAAGCACTGTAATAAAGTGTCATTATGTGGTTTTATTTTTCCTCTTTGTCCTTTCTCAGTGAGTGGAGGGGTGGAGTTGGGACCCACGCTAGGCCTGAAAAAGTCCAGTTCTCTAGAGAGTCTTCAGACTGCCATGACAGAGGCCAAGAGGAATGAGCTGCTGCCCTTCCATAGGCCCCGCCCACACATGGTAAGAGGGCGTGGCTGCAACGAGAGCTTCCGGGCAGCAATCGACAAATCATACGACGGCCCACCAGAGGAGGATGATGGTGAGCACCCACAATAACATGATTTAATGCAATGTGTAATTTTTGTAATAGAAAGAAATATGAAATAACTATAAAAAAGTAAGTTGTGGCCCCTTTAAAGAAATTGGTAGTTGCTATATTCCGCATATCACTTTGATTCCTATAGACTCCCGTAAGTTTACATCAGTATTTGTAGTTATTGTGGATGCGTGTGAGTGAAGTCAGTGACTGCTGAGGGAGAGTAATTGAGAGTAAAGTGTTTGGCTTTGTCCCTGTCATGTGCTTCCTCTTCCCACACACCAGCCTAATTGGCTCTTCCGTGAGACGACAGACTACAGACATATGGCGAAAGAAGGAGAGAGTGTGAGAGAGGAGAGGGGTTGTTCATTATGGTCAGTGCGAACAGATACAGCACAGCTGAAGACTTAAAGATCCCGTCTCATACACACACACATCCCAAAGCAGTATCTAACTTCCCTATTCCTGGAGATCAAGATAAAACCAGAGCTCGTCATTGTAAGCTTTTCCCTGAAATTTTAAACTGAGATGTGGTTCAATAGTGCAACTCAGGATGACCAAGTGATGAGTTCGTAGCTTCAAAACAAACTCATTAACACAAATTATCAGGTTATTTACTCACTTGCTCAACGACGTGTGATTACATCTGCTGTTTACCTCGACGTGGAGATGCCACACACACATCTTACGGTCAAGAAAACAGCGGCAGCTTATTACTAATTACTGAGAACAGTAATTAGGCACACAGCGTTCCTCTCACTTCTCATTACCGTCTCTGTTGTGGGATGATATTCTGCCTGTGTTCAGAGGAAAGAGTTTAAACATCACATTCTAACAAGCCACTCTGTGTATGTGGGGGAGAGGGGGAGAGAGAAAGATTATATGCTTAAAATACGTTTGTTTATCAATCTATTCATGCATACCCTTGTGAAAGAGAAGCATACATTTAAAAAGAGTGCTATAAAGGAAAAATATATACTTAAAAAAAAAAATACTGAATGTATCACTTTGATTCCTATAGACAAGTTTGTTAAGAAATCATGAAAGTCATGAATTCAGTTGCATTTTGTTTCGTTATATTATCTAGAGTTTTTCCCCCCTAATTTTTTAGCATTTGAAATAAAATTCAATGCACATTCAATGCAATTAAGCACACTTATTTTTCGCTAGGGTATGTTTTTTTTTTTCTTTTCTTTTTTTGTCCTTGCGCCCTTATATGATAATGTTGGAGCTGATTTTAACAGCTTAGATTAGAATCTTTATTTATGGTGGAGTTTGTTTATGTGACTTTCACACAGTGCCACTATTGAATGGCATGAACCATTGGCTTATTACAGGAACAAATCCCTCTGGAGCAACCTGGGGTCAAGTGCCCTGCTCAAGGGCACAATAGTGATATTCTCAGTCAGCACATCCAGTGACAGCCCACAGTACATTCCAATGTATATTGTATACAAAATAGCAAGAGATGACTGAAAATTGCCAGTTACAGTCTGATTGGTTGCTACACAACTTCAGGAGCCAAAGTAATTAGATCAGTCTACCAAGAAACAGTCTGCTAGAAAATGTTGTGCTGCTTAAATTTTCAGTTTTGAGGAAGAGCTAGATATGCCAAAGTTTGCAAGGTTTATAGGATCAGATATTTAGAAAATATTTCAAATAGATACTAAATTATATATTCATGGTCAGAATCAAACATTCTGCTTTTATTTTATATCAGTGTGTTAAACACAGTCGAGTATGACAGTCTTGAAAAAAATGAAAGCACAATCAAATTAGGCCAAAATATATAGATAGAACCTGTAACTTCCAGTTGCAAGCCTTGAGCCTTTACCACTACACCACCACCCCAAGGAGAAAATTAAGAGGATGCATTCTTCTCACATAAAGAAGAAACCATATACATATCAAAGGCCATACATCAGTGAGGATGATAAACAGAGAGGCATTTAAGGAAGGGATTTATTTCCCTTTGAAATGGTTTCCATTATTTCACTTTGAGCTCACAGCAGTGTCATTATAGCTTTATTATGTAAGGCTTTCAGAGCATAGGTACTGCTCTCTAAGTCCTCAAGCCCTGCTCTTTTAAAACGTTTTCATATTGAGACGTGAGCATGATGAGAAATATCTCCCCTTTTTTCTTTATCCTTTCTCACCATTTTTTTTCTCTGGCGTTCGGCATTGTGTTCAGCGGATTGATATTTACAATAAGCCTTTGCGCTGGTCCGAACAAAAGAGTTTTCAGATGCATATTAGAGAAGTGGGAGCTAGAGCAGGCCTTTGAGGTTCCTCTGTGTCTCTGAATAATAGGGCGGCTGTACAGTCATTACCGAGCCACCCGCTTCAATGCTAGCTTAAACAGCGTATCGGCATTTGTTTGTGTAGAAATCAGGCCATGGGGAAACGGATGCTGCTGTTGGCCTTGGACTAAGCCTTCGGAAGAACCGACTTGTCCTCCAACCCGATAGTTGAAGTTTGTGTAGGCGAGGCTCAGAGAGAGTTTTGCATGCTTTTCTTTTTGTTTTATTTTGTTTATCTCTGTCATTCAAGATGGAACTGGTTCAGAGTCGTATTGAATGTAATGTGTTCTGTATCACCAGCTAACCAAAGCAAGGGGAGTTTATTTTTCAAGACTTTCCTGTTCCTCAGTGGAGGTTAATCTCATGTGATATTATATACAGTATATATATATATATATACATATATATATATATATATATATATATGATGTTTGTTTTGTTTTTTAAATAATTTTCTTTAGGATTTACATAACTAAATTTAAATCGGGCCCTATGGAAGTTTGCTGAGGCCCCCTGGTTGGGAAATACTTTTAAATAATACTAAAACAGAAAATGGTGGTAAAATATTTCATTTTTTAATTTTATTTAACATATTTGATTGTAGTTGTAAAGTAATTGTAAATGTAGTTTTCACAATTCTGTGTACCATTTGTCAATGCATGTCTATATATTGGTCACCCTACTTTCTACACATCAATATCGGCCATTGAAAACCGTATTGGTCGACCACTATTTGCAAGCTTTCGGGTTACAAGCCCAGATCTCTCTTGTCTCTTCCCTCACTAATTTCTTTGTCTTTTCCCTTGTCATATTTTGGCCTGTAAGATACAACTAGCCATCAATAAATCGCAGTGTACAGGGCTGTCGGGACCTTCCCCTGAGCTACAAGTGGAGGGTTAGTAGGATGGGCGCTGTGAGGCTTATGAAAGACTGATGCTTTTTCGCACGTCTCCTCATCTCTCTTTTAACACGCTCTCTGAGGCAGCCTGGTAAACGTACATCTGCTCCCAGCACCGCCGCTACATCTGACAAACCTCAGAGCGCAGACACATAATGCAGCCGCGATTGATCGCCACACACACAGTGCCCCACAGTGGATAGCCAGTAACAGATGGTTATGTCAGCAGGTTCCTCAGTTACCCAAGCCTCTTTTTTCACTTTTTCTATCCATATCTGTCCTCGTCCTCTTCCTCCCCCTCTCTCTATCCAGTTATCCGCATCCCTTCTTTCTGTTTCCTTCTGATTATGATAATGAGAGCAACTTTTTGATGCTCCAGGGCAGATTAGCTGAAAAAATATCTCAGAAGAGATCTTTTATATTTCCACGAGTCTAACTGAGATATAGGCCATACTAGGACTAGGCAGTTTTGAATGTAAATACTGTGTGAATATAGAAATTTGTGAAACCAGTTGAGGTTTTGCTGTGCTATTTATAATGTAGTAGATATATTTGTGCAGTTTATGTTATATAAACACAAGAAGAAATGTGTAATGTATATAATTTTAGTTATGCTAGACCACTGTATATTCATCACATTTTATGTTTGCTTGTCGTATTGGAACAGATGAGGGGTCGGACCAGAGCTCTGGACGAGATACTCCAGCCAGCGGCTCCTCCAGACAAGGTGCAGGAGACAATGAGGAGAACAAGAAAGACAAGAAGAAGAAGACCAAAGGCAAGAAGAAAGATAAGTTGAAAAGCAAAGGAAAGGAAAAAGAGAAGAAGAAATCAGAGGAGGTTGGTGATGAGCTGGATAAGAAGACCAAGAAGAAAGGATTCGGGTTGCTAAGGCAAGACCCCAGTTTTTTGTGTTTGTATTTCCTTTTGTCCGTCCCTCTCCTCTTCTTTCTTTGTTGTTTTGTGTCTCTCTTAAAGGGACAGTTCACCGGAAAATGAATTTACTCAAAAAATAGTTTTCTCGCCCTTATGTTTTTCCAAACCCGTATGACTTTCTTTCTTCTATGGAACATAAAAGATGTTGTTTTGAAATACGTTCTGTTCACCCTTTTTTCATGCAAATACAATGAATGGAAACAGAAGCTTTTAAGCTTCAAAAAGGCACAAAAGCAGCATAAAAATATAATGAAAGATGTCCATTTGACTGGTACACTATATTTTAAAGTCATTCAATATTTTATTTTTGTAAATAGACCAAAAGGTTGTTATTCACTCATTATCTTTCCAGTGAGCTGTTAATTGTTGCAACTGGATTGAGTCAGTTTGGTGAATGAGCACTTCAATTTTATAAATCTTATCAACTGATTCAAGAGATCAGACCTAAAAGAGCTAATTATTCCAGAATCTTATATTGCTACTTCTGTCATGGGCTCTAATAAAACCTAGGATAAATATCAGTAAATAACAACTTTCAAAATTTTGAATAACAACATTTATTTTATGGTGTTTTTGAGTCTTGTTTGAAACTTGAAAGCTCCGGTCCCTGTTCATTGTAATTTAATTCAAAGAGTGATTATTGTGCATTCCACTGAAGAAAGAAGCTAGGTTTGGAACGATGTGAGGGTGAGTAAATGATTTTAATTTTCATATGAAGGCTGGTTTGATTAACAGATTCTCCCACACATGTAAAGGTCATGATGGATGACTGTTGATTTGACACACATGCTAAACTGCAGCGATGGGTCGTTGGTCGGTCACATGTTGTGAGACGGAATTTTGGCCCGAGCTGCTGTTGGGACGCTCGGTTGGCTCATACTCACGGTTGAAAATGTTCCGTCCCGCTTGCGTGTGTGTAACTGACTTCGACCGCTGGTAAACAGAGCAGTCAGCCCCAGCTCCATATGGCACGCCGTCTCAGCGTCACAGCGCTCAATCTCCCCCGTCTTCACACCGCGCCAGTGCCAGGCCTAATTTGCATCACGGTGGGCACCTGTGCCAACCCCTGCCCATCTGCCCGTCGATCGGCCAGAACTGGCTCCGGCACCGGCACCATCAAGACCAGGCGGCTCCATCACAGTGGAGGATGACCCGCATGAGTGATTCTACAAATCAGAGCATGGACGCCCCGGCAGGCTCCACCTAACGGGCAATTAGCTCTATAATTGTTTTCATTTGGATGACTGCCGGGAAAACTGAAAGGCACACCATGCTGTTACAGCAACACGTGGAATATTCCAGCAGAGAGAGAGAAACGGAAACAGCGGAGTGAGGAAAACAGCCGGGAAACTTGATTCAGCTGGTGTCTTTCTCAAGGTGAACCGTTTTGACTCATCAGGAAATGCGGGCTACTATACGGCTCTTGCTTCTGTTAATCCGACTCGGTCTGACTCGGCCTGATCCCACTGTTTTTCCTCTTCCGTGTGTCTGCCGAGAGTCTGCCAGTGCGCCCACTGCGGCCAGCTCTCCTCCCGCGCCCATGCAATCATTCTAATGTGCACCGTTGTTCTGAGGAGATAAGCGTTTATGTGTTGGCTTGTCAGCGGTTGATGGGGTGAGGGATGTAAAGGTTATTGAATACCACCGTAGTTTTATTTATTTATATTTGGCAGGCAGCAGGGATTAGAGATGTGGGTTCGAGAGCTGTGCGGTGACTCTGCTCGCCACAGAATGTGACACAGCACTTCGCTCACAACTGACGTAACCCAGAATCTTTTGTCGTGAGATTGCCCTGTCACCCTGAGCAGGCCAAATATCCACGGATTAAATGGACTGAAAATGTTTAAAATTCTCCATGTCAACTTTTTGAAGGTCCAGGGAATGTGAACACTCTTGCATAGCTGGGGTAACTGATGAGTCCTTGCTTAACATGACCTTTATTGTAAGCTTGTGCATCTACATAAACCCACCCATATCCCTTTATTCTTTGGGACTGTCAGGGAGTTAACTTGAAGGCCTGTTCATACATTACCAGTTAAAAGTTTGGAATTAAGATTGATTTATTCATTTCTTTATGTATAGGGTAATATTAACAAACAAACAAACAAAAAAAGAAATTAATGCTCACTTTTATTCAACAAGGATGCAGTAAATTAATCAAAATAGTAAAGATTAAAGATATTTTGAATGTTGAAAATAATTTCTATTTTTTTTTTTTTTTTACTTCATATTCATCAAAGAATCCTGAAAAAAAAAATTATAATCTCCTATAATCTAAAGACTGGAGTAATGGCTGCTGAAAATTAAGGAATAAATTAAATGTGAAAGATATAACAATAGAAAATAGTTCTTTTAATTTGTAATATTTCACAATATTACTGTACAAAATTATTTTTACTGTATTTTGATCACATATTAGCATAACTTTTGGCACTTTTTTGAATTTTATTTATTTTTTTTGGTCACAACATAATTTTAAAAAGAAACAAAGCATCCCCATCGACTATAGATATTCACGTCCAAACAAATTCCCTTTAAGACAAGTCAGGTTACTCTGTTGCAATTTTGGTAACACCCCCAGGAAGTTACCAATTTTGGAAGATGAACTAGAAAGCACCTTGAGACAGTTGTCTCATTTAAACATTGTCCTGAATCAGCTGATTCAGGATGAATAAGCTATAAATGAATTGTTTTCCCAAGAGAATAATCTCTACCAATTGGGCATTTGTGTTGTGGCCTCCTCTTTTTGTGTTATTTTAGTTGGTTTAACTCTAGGCTACATAGTTCATTTTGATATTGTGCTTTAAGTGGCCTGCTCTTGATAATGTTGAGGGTTTCTCACCTTTTTTCACCTTTTTTTTTCTTTTTATCCCTTCACATATTCCTCTCATGTGTCCTCATATATATATATATTTTTAACTGCAAACAGGGACTGAAGCATCTCAAGCATTCTGTAGATCGATAGAAAAATATTGACTGCCCTTTTCAATTAGCATTATGTGTGTTTGGGATGTCTGACCTCAAAGGTTAAGAGCAGGTGAAGTACAGACTAGCTGAGACGCCCCTTGAGAAACATGGCCTCTAACCCCACCGACTGTAAATCTGTGTTTCCAAGTGCTTAAAATGTCTCTCATTGAAGAAACAGTCTTCATTTAGAGCTTTTAAAGGGATTTAAACCTTTATGTTCTTACAGGCATGTTTGCTGTTAATTTACGAACTCCAAAATGAACCAAAGACTGTTTGGAATGAATAAAATGCGCAATTTTCATTTTTGGCCGAACTATTCCTGTAATTCAGGAGAGGCTGAGGGGAGGTATTTCAGTCTGAATTTACCATCAAATGAAGATTTGTTCAACTGAATGTCAGCTATCTTGTTGTAAAGTGAGCCAGTATGGCTACAGACACCATTCGGGTTCTCTGATACTGAACACAAATCTCTTATTTGAGGTCAGAAACCCTAGAAATTGTCACTGTCTAGATTAAATATTTCTTTTCTGACTCAGTTTCCTCCTCTGTTTTCCATCTCAATGTTATATGCAGTGTTGGGAAGGTTACTTTGGAAATGTAATAGGTTACAGATTACAAGTTACCCTATTTAAAATGTAATAGTAGTGTAACTTTTTCAATTACTTTATTAAAGTAATGTAACTGATTACTTTTGTTTACTTTTTGATTACTTTTATACATTTCTAATGAATGTTTATTTGCAACTGTTAATAATGTTCAAACACCTACACCATGCAGGGTTAACCTTAC